GATTAAAAAATGGCTACGTGAGCCTTTATTTTGACAGTGGACGTCCTTGGCCTCTTTTGTTAGTTAATAGGAATCACTGACATGAATTGAATAGAGACTAATTCTAGATGGTCCATTTTTTAAGTAATTTAGTGAACACAGACAACCGCACATCAAGTTACCCTCTTCTGTCACATTACATTTTCGAACTTATTACTTAACGATAAAATCGAAATTTGATCAAAGACAGGGCTACGGTGATTAGTTCGGAGTCTACGCACTAGATTAGTTTTGGAATTGAAGTTTTCGTAGTAAGTGCGTAGATTACGTAGCGCGCAGTAGACTGGCGTAGCAATGCTACGTTCGTACTACGCAGTCGTAGCAACGGTAGCGTGTTGTTTATGTTTTGATTCTACATTTTATTTTGGGGATGTATTGTTTAAATATTGTTTCTTTAGAATGAAATTATGATCTTGTTAATAATTAAGAGTACCTATAAATTTAACTTTTTCGATATAAATGCTAGCTCTAAATTTGTCTACGGAAAATCTACCCGCTGAAGTGTAACGCTTCAGTTTGAAGTTGTACCAAATTGTCGATTGTAGGTTAACAAAAAGCTACCTACGATTGAAATTTAGTAGCAGGTATATCACTTTCTCATATCATGTTATAGTGACAGACATCTGCACACCTTTTCCTTGATTCAAACGATCTACTAACGGACCCATTTTTTTCGATGATCACTAACAATATATAACATCGCTCCAATGATCTGCCTACTTACCGACATGATATCGATTTCATAAAAAATCTATTGTATTTCAACAAAAAGCCTTATTTTTATGGTAAGCACGTCCTATATTATTGTGATTTACAATGAAATAATTAGCCAGGTCGCTAACGGAACCTTTTTTATTCCAGTTCAATTTTTCCTTTGTACATTTGTAATTTAATATTTTTTTCAAAGTAACTTAACCCAGTGAGTGGGTGGGTAAAAAATCGTATTGTAAATACTTATATCAAGGTTTTGGTGATATTGTTTTCTCGAGTGTAAGTGGGTGGTGATTTAAGTGTATGTACCTAAGTACCTTTATTGCGTTTTGGGATTTCAGATTTTCAATATACCTTTTTATAATAATAATAAGTATCGTGAAACATACAAAATTAATAATCGTGAGACATAAGTAAATAAACTGAGAAAATCTGTACTAGTTTCGAGTCAAAGTAAGATTCTTCCTCATGAGCAGCGTGCGTGGACGCGGGGACGCGACTTTATTTGTGCAGCCTACAGTCGCATGCTGTTCATGAGGAAGAGTCCCTCTGTGCCTCGAACATAGTAGGGCTTTTCTCTATATATCTACGTGAGTAAACCCTTATTTTTAGTTAATTCAATACACCTATTTCAAGAATTATGAGCATATTTCGTTTATCAAAGCATCTCGACAGCTTACTTATTATTTATTACCTTCAGTTTTTAGTCTGGTCTTCAATCAGCATTCATGACCTATACGAAACGATGACACCAATAGACCTAAATAAAATTATATATAAAGAAAATAAAACTTAAAATAATTATATAATAAAAATGAACATTTATACGAGCAATGCGTTTTTGGTGAGTACGGACTTTTTCTAGACTTTTTTTCTTTCATTGGTCTTTTGTTATGGTACGGAGTATTGCAGCCAATAGACAAAGCTAGTAACCACGTGGAAGCAAGGGAATTTAGCTCTTATGTACCAAAGCAGTAAACAGCTGTGTCGAAGTATTTTGGAAAATAGTAAGAAAATTGCTTTCTACATCACATTTCGGAATCTATTTTCATTTTTATTTCTGCTTTTATGAAGGCCCACGTGTTCTTGAGGCGTCTTATCAGATGTAACCTCAGAACATTGGAGATTGGTTATATCGCTGTCTAGTATTATTACTCATCAATTTGACTATTACGTTTAACGCCAAATAATTGGATGTAGGCTCTGTTTCTTAAGAAATGTGCTAAGAATTATGTGAATATTGTAAGTGACACAAAAACTGAAATGTAAGGACTGGTGCGACGTGCCGTCACGATCGTTTTCTTAACACTAATTTACTCATATATCACTTCTTAACTACATAAACTAGCAATCTGTTTGTCCTTGTGAAGTACAAAGAGTATGAATTTTAAAACAACCCCCTATGAATCATTTTAAAACTACCCCCCGTAGAGCAACGAAATACGTACCATCTAAAAATTTCAAATCTTTTGTAACAACCTCTTTTCTAAAATAAAGCATACTTTGTTTTAACTCCCAGGTATACCTTTTACAGCGTCATTGTAACTATCTGCGTGAGTTACTTTACATTTCAAATTATCTCCAATGTTCACCTGTCCTTAAATAATTCGTTAACTCCCCGAGAGTCGAAGACTTTCTACCAAAAAATATCAGCTTTGTTTAAACAGTCTTTGTTACCTTACATTGCATTCCGCATAAATGTTCTCCAACAAAAGCAAACAAAAAACAAACTCAGGATAAAGGAACCAAGGAAACAAAAAAACAAAAAAAAACATAATTCAATAATATAAATATTGCATTTATTTCAACGAATTCTGCAAATATAATAACTGTAGATAATAATTATAATAATACTATCAGTTTACAAGACTTTCAATCTTTTCTTAGGCGGTCGAATCAACGCCGCAAATACCAAAGAATTCTTTCACTGGCTGGCACAGGACTTTGTTTAAAATTACTATTTAGAATAACGTCATCTCAATAACAGTAAATGCAGATCGCATAAAATTAGGTTAAAAATTAAATTATACAAATTCAAAAATTAAAGTAATGGAAGTCGGGTTGGAGAGGCAAACTCAATATCAAGGGGGATGACAGTCGCCTTGACGTCAATACGATTCTGTAGTTATCTACATGTCAAACAAGATTATAGTAAAACTATGGAACAAAAATAAATACAAACATAACAAAAATAAATAAAATCAACAAAAAGCGATATGCAAATAAAAACATGCTCAATAATACCAGAATGCTGTGGTATATGTATTCAAGAAATAGTAAACAACGCTTATTATTTTCTTCACCGACAGACTGGGACATTTGCATTTGAAAGATCAATAGAGACGTATCAAGGTGTTTACGAGTCGCTAGTGAAAATTTCTACATAATAAATAAGGGCATAGCGTAGCTCCCGCGGCGCGTGCGCAGGGGCGCAGGCGCATTAGCTCACAGCTCGTGCGCCCCACGACTTACGCAACAGTCAAATTTGAAGAAAATATTTGCATATCGCCTAACGCCCCAATCGAAACCCGAATATGTAAATGCCACGAAAGAATAGCACAAACTGCAACCGGGACCCCACACGACAGCTAAGCATCCATTATTATGTAAAAACCGACAAACTTGTAATGTTATGTCTGTATGTATTTTTGATCGATTAGGCTCGTGCCCTTAACCGAGACCTTTTCGAAAGATATGCGAAGTAAACTAATTAGATACATTTATATCACAAGTTCTTAAGATGCCTCTACGAAACAAATAATATATTTATATCTACCTATAGATAAGAACTATCGAAATACAAATACGAACAGCTATCGGCGACAACAATTTTACAGTGCACATCGTTATAACTAGTAGTATACTTTAACTATTTACAGTGGAGCTCTAGAAAAAATAATTTACAAAACACTTGGATCCTACAAGGCACCTTATTTTAAATAATTATATAGACTTCAGGCTTCGCTATGACTTTACACAATAATAACTAAAACATTTAAATTCTCTAAAATATATAATTTGGTTTTCATTACAATCCTACAGCAATAGACATGTCGCTAATAACCTAATAGGAGTTTTAAATACGAACAACTAGGAAGAATAATATTATGCAACAGATTACTAGTCTATGTCTCTCTGTAGTGTTGGCTTTCAATATTATGTAGAGCAAACTCAAGGAAACAATGGACACTGATGTGTTCTTTCTGAGAAAGTCTTAATTGGCGTCATTTAAATAATTGATTATTCATGTGAAGCGAAATGCATGTGCGCCAGATCGGTTCCATTAGATATCGACGTCCTTCACGCGTCCTAACTTCTACCATTGTTGTGCATCGTTTGCATGTGTATAGTGCCTTAGAGCGGCCGCCCATTACTGCACCGCGCCAGCCAGGCCGGGCCCGCGGCCCGCCTCTCTGCGACAACAACGCGCGGCGCGCCAAGCAACACGTGCCGATGTGCAACAAAACGTACCACAAATAATGCTCATATACCGACACAAAAATATCTATTGGTTTCACATTTATATTATAATTTGAAAGATTGTGTAGTGTTTTTTACTGTTGCCACGTTCCGTAATTATTTGAATTACGAAATAATTTCTGAGATTGAATCGACTGCGTACGTGCCGCTATTACCTTTCGCATCGATGAACCGACTCGACGCATATTTAGTGTTTTGAACACTTTATCAATTAGCTGTAGATCTAAACTTCAAAGTCAAAGTAATTTATTTCAAACTAGACCAAGAAGGCATTACTGAATGTCAAAGAAAATATTTAAAATGTCGGTCAGTTTTCTAGGGAAGTTATTCGCTCGTTCCAATCCAAAGTAGAGTTCCGGAGAAAAACGAGCAAGAAACTCCACAGGGTACTATTTTTCAATCAGGTTCACAATACATACATACAGTGATACTGATTTCCAGTCGTAGATGGAAACGATCTGATGCTAATGACATCAATTCAACATCTCAAATATATTGAAATATAAACACTACAGAGAGATTTTAATCTTAAGCTATTTCATTTAAACCTAAATTTTATTTACAAAAGGACTCACTAATAGGAAAATAGCAACGACCGTCACGGCACGAAAAGAGCTTCGCTCGAAACGCTATTATGTATTTAAACATTGTGATTATTTGTGAACACAATTAAAATGACGCGATCGAGCGGAGCTCGCCGCTGCGAGGTTCTACGTAAGAGAATGCGGGATCGCGTAGAGCTGGGAAGCGCTAGGCGACTCACTCCGAGGTCAAGTTGTACACTCACCATTGCCGGCGAGCTGCGGCCGCAGGAACGCGTTGTGCAAGTCGCCGCCCATGCCGCTCTCAAGACGCGCTGCCATCTGCATGAGCGCGAGCGTGCTGTCATCGCCGCCGCCTGCACCACTTTCGAGCCGCGCGCGTACAGCCGCGATGTGACCACGTGTGAACACATGGTCCTGCACCGAGTATTTATGACTGTATTTGAAGTCACATACTCGACACTCTTCCGGCGGCGGCGCATCGGACACCTCCATGAGTCCGGCAGCCAGGCGCGCCTTCTTCTCTTTGGCACGTGCATTTTGGAACCAAACTTGCACTACACGTTTGGGTAGTCCAATTTCTCGACCGAGCGCCTCGCATTCCGCCATAGTCGGAGTTTTGTAGTCCCCGAATAAGGATTTCATAATCTTTACTTGCAAGGATGACATTTGCGTGCGATAACGTTTTCCCGGCGGCCGAGTCGTTTGTTGCTGGCCGGGGAGAGGCGAGGTCGGCTCGTCTTCTTCATAGAATTCCATAGTTTCAGAAGCCGTGTCGGAGCGCTCGTCAGCGTCAGATCCAGGTCGTGACAGATCAACTGGTTTACTGAGATCTAAAGGTATCTCTGATTTTCCATGTTCGGGACGTCGTTCAGTTGGTTCATTTCCGCCGCCATTCTGTTGAGCGGCCGCATGCGCTTGTAATTCACTTACATAGCGTTTCATTGATTCTTCACTGTACTGCTTGATAAATTTCTCCATGTCTGAGTGAAAAGGTGGAAAAATAGGGGGCAACATGGGAGCCCCCGCTTGGGAAAAATTTTGCTGCCGATCACTTTGTTGAGACCCGAAACTCGGGGTTGATTCTGTACTCAATTCTTCATCAGGTAATGCATCTACATTGATCTCACCTCTCGCACACTGATCTGCGTGTTTGGTGCTCAAATGACTTTCTAGGGCACTTTTTACTTTAAATAACGCTGGACAAAATGGACATCTTTTATTTATGACTTGTGCATGTGCTCGGAATTGTCCTTTCCTCTCACGTGCTCTAGTATTTTGAAACCAAACTTGTACCACTCTTTTTTTTAGTCCAACTTCGCGTGCTATGTTTTCAAGCATTTTACGAGATGGATTAGATTCGATTTGGTATTTTTGGTAGAGGTAATCCAGTTGTTCCGGTAGAATTGTAGTTCTTAAGCGTTTGTCTTTTGGCTGTTCACCTGTTTCAACTTCTTCATACTCATCAAATTTCCTTTTAGCGACTTGTTGGTTGAGAGCCGCTACTAAAGGATGGCGAACTTCATCACTGCCAAGGCTTGCATTTAGTTGTTGTAGTTGTGCATGTTGTTGCAAAATTCCAAAAGGGGAATCGGGTGGATATGTGGGAAATAAGTTTGGGTTCATTATGTGAACCAGTTGGTGTTCTCGCCATAAGTCAAAACGAGGGAAGACTAGGTTACATTTATCACACTGAAAATTTCCATCTTTTTCTTCACGAGGTGTGTGCGATAGTGGGGTAACAGGTGTTAACGGCGCAGGCGGTGCTGGCGACACAGGGTAGTTAGGTGCCGCGGGAGTCGGCGTACGAGGCGGCGCAGGTGAGACTGGCACGTGGGGAGGGTGATGTTCTACATTGCTCGAATTGGAATCCTCACTGCTTAATGTAGCTGCAACTTGAGCCGCTGCAGCCTGTGCTTGTGCTGATCTTTTTGCATCTTCTTCTTTGAAACAATGCGTCTTTTGATGTCTTATAAGTTCATAGTACCTTTGAAATACTAATTGGCACTTTTTACATTGATAGTTAAGGCCTGGAGTACGTTGAAATCTATTGGCATCATCCGTGGCACTCGCAGGCGGATCTGCGGCTGGTTGGTTTTCATAGACTTTTCTGGCTTTTTGGCGTGCGTTTTGAAACCAGACTACAATCACTCTAGGGCTTAACCCCAATAACTTTGACAAATATTCGAGATCATCATCTTTGGGATATGCATTATTTTCAAAAAACTCTTGTAATACTTTGATTTGATAATCTGTAAATCTAGTTCTGTTGGCGCGTTTGCCAGAAGACCCCGTTGAGCTGTTGGATCCGTTCGAATTGCCCCCGGAAAGTCCGAAATCGGCCGGCCCTCTGCCAGGGCTGAGGCTGCGATTCGGGGTCAAAGGTAGGACGTTCGGGGGCGCGGAGTTTGGGGACGTGAAATTAGGATTCAATTTTGGTGGTAACATCGATGGATGAGGCGGCTGTGGTATACTAGTTGCCGGAATCGAATCTAATTGAGATTGAATTAACGAGTTTAATGAAATGTGCGTTGGTGTTTGAGGTCGCGATTTGTTTTGATGATGGTGATCATTGTTTTGAATCATTGGTGCTGGGCTCTGCGATGGTGCTTGAGGAAAGATAAAGCTTTTGTCTTCTTGGTGTCGATCGTCATATGAATTGTATTTTTCCTCCATCGTTGGCTCATCGTTGGGTTCCGACTTAACTTCTTGATGCATTAGCATACTAGTATCTTCAATTTTAGCCTTTTTTTCAGGTGGTGGCTTTCCTTCATCAGAGCTTGCTGATGAATCCAAAGTTGTTACTTTGGCCTCACCAGTTTTTTCATACTCTTCCAAATTGAGGGTCGTAGAAGGAGGATTGTTGAAATTATAAGGTGAATCTTTGTTTCGCTGTCGCTCCTTGAAAAGAGTATTTCTGAACCAATGTTTGATTACCTTTGTAGCGAGTCCAGACTGTTGGGCCATTTTCGCGATAGCCTCGTCACTGGGCGAATTGTTAATGTCAAAATGTGCTCTCAAAATTTTCAGTTGTTCATCAGTGATGCGTGTACGCGCTCTCTTTTGACCAGCTGCAGCATTAGCCTGCAAACAAAAGAAATCTATATTAAAGACGAGCATTGAATCCGTAGAGACGAAACGAGTTTTCAGTTGTTAAAGGGTTCATTTATCAACGACGATTTGAAGCAGGTAAGTCCGAATGCTAAGGGAAGTCGTTACTAATAATAATGGTCGGACCCTTCATACAACAATAGATTCCCTGTCGCCTTGTGCAAACAGATAGCTAACGTAAATCGTTGAGCTTATCTCACAATACGACGCCGTCGTAGATATCCTTATTGCCCACGATCGAATTTACACAGTAACTGACGAAAATAATCAATGCGAAGCCTTGTGTTTGTATAAGTAAATATGTATTTGTTATTTGTACGTCTCGACTGAATTAAACAGTTGAGGTAATGGAGGTTTGTTAAATAATTGTGTTGTAATATATATATTAAAATTCGTCTTTAATTTTGTTTATAATGATGGAAACAGATGGATGAGAGATGCACAAAACAAAGAATTGGAGCAAAAAAGGAAAAGAATCCCAGTTCAGTAAGAATTATGCATGAAAACGTTTCTGGTATAATAATAGTATATATTTTATATTGGCGATTTATTATATCTTTAGTAGTTGATACTTCCATTAGTTAAAGAGTAGTATATTATTGTAACTAAAAGAATGCAATAGCCTTTAATTAATTCTCTATATATATATAGTAGTCACGGCATAACACGTGGCTGGACCGATTTCACTAATTCTTTTGTTGTTGTATTTGTTATTATTAAGAAAAGGTTCTTAAGACAGAAAAAAACCTGAAATTCCTATGGGAACGGGAAAAAACGGGATTGCGCGTACGAAGTCGCGGACAGAAGCTAGTAGAATTACATATGACACATATTGAATGTATGTACAGTAAATATATAATTAATTCCAATTAGAATACGATCGAAAGTTATAGATTATTCTATAAATATATTCTATTAATAAATATATACGATATCGATTGTAGTTCACGCCTCAAGTATTATTTTAAAAATATATTCAATACACAGTTTCAAATTTCCTACGATTTTTTTATATGTATAGATTCTATAGTACATAACATATTGGTTTAAACAAGCGTTAACATAACATCACTATTTATTTGTTAAGTTATATAAGTAGTTATATACACAAGTAGTCATTATCTGATTATCTGCTGGTATAAGTAATGAAATGTAGGTTTAACTAACGATGAGATGTTAAGAATATTAAAATATTGTAACTAACCTGTTGCTGCTGCTGTAATAATTGTTGTTGTTTCATCTGGGCGTCGTGGGCGAAGGGCATTGCATCGAATGGAGGAGGTGGTAGCATTAACGGCACCAATGGTGGTTGAAGGTTCATGGCAGCTAGTGCTCCGACGTTCAAACCTAGAGGCAGCCCCAACGATAACATCTGAGCTACCATCGGATGCAGTTGTCCTAGTTGTTGTTGTAGCTGAATCATATTTAATGCTGCCTGCATCTCTTGCACTTGCGCAGCCAGTAGCGCTCCAGCTTGCGCATCACCTTGTGCACTTCCATTTTCATTAAAGTTTCCACTATTGTCACCACGTGGAGACGGTGACCTGTCACCTTGCGGCGCGGGAGAGGCAGCACGAGGTGAGTTAGGTGCACCAGACTTCCTTTCATATTCCGATTTAAACTGTTCCGCAAACTGCTCTAGAAATTCTAGAGGTACTTTATCCTTGTGCACTTCCTCACAATGGGTTTTAAGAACGAACACACTTGAAAATTCTTTATTGCAATGTTGACACGTAGATTTGGATTCACCGTCCGGAGGCTTTTCCTCAGGAGGCGGCGGCGGTGGACTTGGTACACGCACCATCTCTCGTTCTTCCTGTATTTTTCTCCGCTGATTTTCATTGTATTGCATAACGAGATCGAATCCAAAGGTTTCTAATAATTGCTTATACATTTGTGAATTCCGTTTGGGCGGGTTACCCTTGGCCACCATCTCGTCAAGTGCAGCTGTTTCAGCTTCGCCAAGCGGCGAATGCGCCCGCGCATCGCCGTACGGACATGACGTCGCTCGATGTGCCTCGAGTAACTCCCCGTTAGGGAATGACGTCTGACAGCGTTCGCACGTAATGTTACCTGCGCGGGGCGAACGCGGGCTACCTGGGCGCGCAGGGGGTGAGGAACGCGGGCCCCCGCTGCTTGTAGACGAAGGGGATGTATTTTTCGGCGACAACACGTCTTGTAATATTTTGGCGGGGTCGGTCCGGTCAGGCTGCTCCACTAGGGGTCGTGACAAGTCCACGTGTCCAGCTGCGGCTAGTTCTTGTAATTTGCCAGCACGTGTTTGGTGAAGCACCGATCTCATGTGTATGTCGAGCGTACTACCCTGTGTGTATGCAACTTTACAAATGTTACATTTATATCGTTTGCGGTCATCTTCCTCGCTCGATGTACTTTTGGGTGTAAGTGTCAAATTAGATGGCGCAGAACCCGCCCCGGGCGACACGGGAGGATTATTATTATTCTGTTGTTCTTGCATAGCTCGCTTCAATTTATGTAAATGGCTCACACTATTGTAGTGAACAAGTAAAATATTCTTTTGCGTGAAAGATTCCTTGCATACGTCACACTTGAATGGTCTGTTTGGATCTAGATATTTTTCCATGGGGTAGGTTAACTTTTCACCTTTTCTATGCAGGAGTGTCTTATTATGTGCAGTCAAATAAGATTGTCGTGTAAACGCAACCTTGCACCGGTGACACTTATATTTTCTATTTGGGTCATTGTATGAGTCTTCAGCCATTGCTTGAGAATTTAAATAATCTTCCAAGAATTGTTGATCTTTGTAAATTATTGAGTCATCCGAGTTTTCAGCATCATTATGTCCGGACTCATCAGCGACTGTTGCACTAGAGTCTCTATCTTCAACATCGGCGAGGTCATCATCTGGAGTTCTTAACGCTTCTTTACGTAAAAGCTCAGCAGTAGCAGCATCTAGAGCTGTGCCTTGTGCAGCTTGTAATAAAGGATTCGATGCTAAACTGCGTTTAAAGGCACTCAGTTCTTCTTCAGATAATTCAGGATGGGAAGTTTCAACGTGCTTCTGTAGTGCTAACACAGATCTAAAACTTCTACCGCACAGCACACACTTGGTTGCATCTCTTATAACATGATATTGTGAATGTAGCTGTAGTTTTTCAATTGTCTTAAACGCCAGACTGCACTGATTGCAACGGTACTTATACACATGTTTTTCAGACACTGACATGTTGGCAATAGAGTTACGCGCATGTGCTTCTCTGAAGTGATTTTGTAGAGCATGAGCTGCGTCAAAGTATCGATTGCATCCTTTCTTCCAACACACGTAACCCGGCCCTTGCGGTGTTTGTTTTAGTTCGAGGTGGCCGGACTCATTCTGATGGTGACATAATTCATCAACGTTTCTAAAGGTGCGGTTGCAAGTCGAACACCTCTCAGTTTCACCATCAGCACTTCCCTCCGATCGTGGTGAGGAAATTTCTCGCTCATCGTCACCTTGTCGAGATTCGTCTCTTTGGGATTGGGCTCCACCATTCAACCAATGGCTTTGGTCAACAAGTAATAGCAGTCTCTGTAGTCCTTCCGAGTTAACGGAATGGATTTGCATGACGTGTCGTTCGAGGGCTGGTCGTTCCTTGAAGCCATCTTGGCAAAGAGGGCAAATGAAATGTCGAGACGGGTCGCCATGTACGGAGGTGACATGTGCGTGTAGGCGAGACTCGTTCGAACAACTAAAATTACAATAAGGACACGCGTGTGGTCCGGGAGTCTCTCGTTCTTCCTCCCTCTCACTGGAACTTTGCTGAATTTGTTGCGATACATGTTGTTGTTGTTGCGGCTGCTGCTGTTGTTGTTGTTGTTGTTGCTGATGTTGTTCCAAAAATCTCATCATCTTTTGTTCTTGAGTTAACTCTGGTTTCTGGTCGATCGGCTCCTTAGTGTCTGTTGACAAACAAATAAAAATATTTGTTTACAAACAAAAATTGATTTAAACACTAATTGTTCACAACGAACCTCCCGCTACGGAATCTGCAGGCCGAATGGATACAAATCTGTACAACGTAAATCCACAATGTCTACCTACATCTACGTGAGATTTATCTACAAAAAAGATTATTTCTATAAATGAAGCTGGCTATTGTTCGGTATAAGCGTTTGTTACTTTTCTGAATTGAAGTTAAAAATAAAATTCTTCTCTTTTATATTATTAGTAGGACTCGTTTTGTTTGCGACGTCCCGGCAAGACAAAGGTATCGCTCTATCCATCCCGTACGCACACATTCACAAAAGTATTAATGTTAACGTAACAAGTATATTGTAATTTTGCACACAAAGAAGATACAGGACGAGCAAACAATCATTGTTCATTATTACAAAAGGTTTCGAATATTTCGTTTCGCATCGGATCAAATGCATCGGGATAGTTGACGTATGTGACTATAGGTGTGAGCGAGACGACCGTATGTGAGCGTGCAATTATTATTTTGACCAAGGATAAGTCCGCGGCAGCGTGTGAAAGACGGTCGGCCGCATTGTTTACGCTCAAATAAGGAAGGTGAAAGAAACGGCCGAGGGAGAACTGATTCGTTAATGTAACGTTACAATTATAGTTTATTAGATGGGCAATAGAGGGACTATCTATTGTATTCTTATTATAAAATGCAAAAAAGTTACAGAGAATCCAATATTATTCTTACAAGATTTTAATATAAACACTACTTTTCTTATTAATTTTATATTGTTGTCTCATAATAGTGCAAAAAAATAAAAGTTCATAAAGCACTGCATTCAATGTTTACTTAATTAAAACTGGAAATTATCTCACAGTCGAACGAAGCTGAAACCAGTCGGCCCCCTGTTCAGGAACCCGTTCTATAGTTTTAAGCAGTTAAAACCGTTACATCTAATGAAGGGGAGAGGGATAAATCTGAGTACGTAATAATAATGATAGCGCAACTGACCCTAATTCCAGAGTGACCATTGAATGTAATTATTTATGATGTAAAGCCGCCGTCCCACAGTCTGGTAGGAGCATAGAACAATGGCCAGGTAAAAGGACCTTCTCTGCATAAACGCGATCTCTGACGCTTTTTGTCAATGGACAAAGGGTCTTTTCTAAGGAAACACCACATCGTTATAGCGTCGTAAAGTAAGTATTGTGCAGTGTGAGTTTTGTTTTGCGAGATTTGGGTCACAATTTTTACAACGTGGCGTCAGGGACACAATGGGAACTGAACGTTTTACTGTCATTGCGTACCGGTGTTGCGGGTTCGATTTTCGAAATTTATTTAATCCGTTCCACTTTTGCGTATACTCAAAAATGAGTCCTATTGACCATTAGGGTCTTAACTGTGTTCGCAGATCTTGATCATTATTTTGCACGGCGACCTATAGATATTTATATGCATTTTTTTAACGAAAATCTTGCCATATTTATTATCATCTTGAATCTTTTAGTGAATAATCGACTCAGACGTCTTTATTGATCTTATAGCACAGCAAAGCAAAAAATCTTTTGGAACAGGGTGCTGGTCTTGTATAACGTATAAAATTATAAACCAGTTCTTATTCTGGTTTAATCATATTGATGATAGGGACAGTAACTAATGAATCAGTAGCCGAGGGGTAAAACAGTGACAGATTCAAAGGAAGCATATATAAATGATGTCGCAAAATTGAAGAATGACATTTTTTGTGTCATCCGAGTATGTGCCTACCTACTTCAAGATCGTGTGAATTTAAACGAATGAAATTTTCCCTCACAATGCAATTTAGTTCATCGTTGTGTTTTACAATGAACCGTTCCGTGAGCAATTCGAAAACTTAAATTTATATCAAAATCGATCGTTTAAAATGGCTCTCTCAATAAGGTGAAAATAAGTAATAAGCATAAACATGAGGCACACAATGGTGTAAGGCGGATTTCTTTCGCCTCCACATTTCTCTCGGAGTTTATCGTATTTCACCGTAGCCATAAACATGCGCGGGGCGATGCGGCCGGCGACATTGTGCGATGATGTAGCAGCCTCATCACAAGGGGGCAATCATCCTTAATGCGCGACCGCCACATACGTAATGCGAGTCATTGTCCCGTGTGCGGTACTTATGGAAAATTCGCGTTCTCAATTCAAATCTTCTCTCCGTCTCCCTCGCGCGCGGGGCGGAGCCGCCTCCGACCAATGACGGCATCCGACTGTGGCGACACCGTGTAAGGCGTACGTTATTAAAGAAACCTGTTCTAATGTTGCGCGCTTTAAATTAAATTTTGTTCGTGTGTAATTATCTCATTATTGTGATTACGAATTCTTCGCTAAATGCTCATCGCTTAAAATGGAGATTGCCTCTCAGATTGAACACGGAGTGACGGTCACGCGATAAACGATAATGAAGCCTTCGTTGACGAAAACGGAGCGCACGATGTGCCTTCATATCATACATACAATACTCACAAATTAACATCAAACAAATCGTTGTGTTTGTTGACACGATCCACAGAAAGAAGTTCACTTTGAAAAAACGCAGAACAAAATTGATTAAGGAACGAATCGGTTTAAATTGGAAACCGATAGTGACGTTTCGAAATCACATTCATAAGTCGACTCAGTATTACTTTATCGATACGAACGCCGGTAATGGTTTTGGTTGAATTAATTTTAATGGGATTTTTACGCTTTATAGAATAAAAATGTTACGAAATGTGTTTAGCACAGAAGTAATAAATAATAATATATTTCGTTGTGTCGTGTTCGTTTATTGATTGAACAAAAGTTGTCACGAGCGACATCTAGCGCAAAGTATAAAAACTGAGCAGAATGCGCACGCGCATCTAATCGGTTTTCGATCGTGAATGGTTTTTTAGTTGCCATTGTGTAGATAGTAACAAACGCTACCTCTAGATAGAATACTCTTACATTGTTAGTGGGTACATTCGTTATATAACTGACTAATTATTATCATTAAGCTGCAACTTACGGAGACAACGCCTATAGGAAGTTAATGTGCAATAACAATAGACCAGTCACGGTTGGAAAATTATTAGCTGACAAATAAGCAATTTCCTTATTACCACTCTAGTGAACATGAAAAGACAAACAAGGACTAAATGTGAAAAAACCAACAATTAAATTAGATTAAGTATCTACCCATGTCGGTAGTCATAATTGTCTACATACTTATAGAAATTGTACTGTCTACATAGTCATTTTATATTAACTGCAGGAGGTTCGTAAAATGTTTGACACACATTTATTGCATTAATCAGTACTCACCATTATCTTGCTGATCGTACGGGCTCGGTAACTCAGATGGCTGAGGGATGACTTGGAACAGTTCAGCTACATCAGGGGTTGGGTCTTTGCCCTCAGAGCGACGTTGGAGCTGGTGAATTTGTTCCATCTGCATATGTTTTACCGATCGAACGTGTTGCAGAAGTGGCAGTCGATGGGGTGCTCCGAAGCCACAGAGAGCACAGCGGTATACTCGGGGACGTTCTCGAGGAATACGTGTCGCGCACTCGCGAAGATGTCTCAATAGTAAGGCAGCGGCTTCATGTCTCGCACCTGCTGCATGAAGCTGCAGTTTGTGCGCAGAATTAGTATAGTAATCACACGCACAGCATCGAACCTGTACACCACCGACGCTTGCACCACCTGTTCCAACACCACCACAGAACTTCAGTTTCCATTCATTCCTTGGTCCACCCTCTTTGACATGGTTTACATGCTGAAGCCTCTGTAAGTGTTTGTCAGTTTTGCAATGTAGCTGGAAATTAGCTTTTAAGTTGGTTTTGTATGTGCATAATTTGCACACATAGTGACCAGCTACTAAAGCCAGAATCTCCTGTTCTCTGATTTTCGTGCGGTCCTGGGCCAAGTGATGGCCCAGTGCTTCTAAGGAATCGGTTGAGAAACAGTTGCAGATGCAACAATGGTATGTTCTCTCTGGCTCTGGATCAGCAGGCTCTGGTGGAGGTTCCATTGCTTCTGGATTTAAACCAACATCAAGATGAGCTCCTAATTCAGGAGGTGAAGGACCTGGGCCTCCAGTCATTAGTTGAATCATCAAGGCCTGGTTGTAAGCCATATCAGCAAGAGCAGCTTCAGGGTTAGGAGGTGGAGCATCGCCACCATGGAAATGCAATAAACTTTCAAGTTGTTGTTGACTTTGTTGCCTGTGGTGAAGAGCTGATAACGTCTGCATATGTTTAACGTTTTGCTGCAAAACAAGCATGTTGTGGGTATGCTTTTCGGAAGTCATGTGTATCCTCAGATTACGTGCAACGTTTGTTTCATAGTTACAAACATCGCAGCGGAAGGTTGGCTTTGGTTTTTGACCTAAGGGTGAATGATGCGGCAGTGGTGGTTTGTGTGGGCCTGGCGGAGTATGTTGAGGGGCAGGAGGTAAAGTTCCTTCGCCAGGGTTGCCACCATTTTGAAGCTCTTGCATATTATTTAGATGTTTATCAGATTGCATGTGTATACTTAGATTACCCTTAGTAGTAGTCGAGTAGTTACATACTTCACAACGGTATGGTTTGTAGCCACATGTGTATGTTTCTCCACGGGCCAGCCGAGGATGTGGTTGTCCAGCTATGCAATATATGCAACTCGTCTCAGCTTCAGGATGTTTCTCTTTCATATGTATTTCTAATGTCTCTTGGTATTTATAATGCCAATTACATTTGGGACATTTCAAGGTTTTGCAGGAATTCCGACTATGCATACCAGCTAGTGGGCCACCTAATCTACCTGAGTTCAGAATCAATTCACATTTTGGACAATCTGCACCAGACGGCCTTCCTCCTAAGTGATCTGGGCAAACACCTATCGTCGTTCCAGAAAGGAAGGCAGGCGGTGTAGCTTGAAATGGTGGGGATGAGTTAGGACTGGCCCGTGGTTGCACTGAAGCATTAATCGTATGTGGATGTGCCACGGAGATCAAGGAATGTTGTGGCATTAAAGATTCGGCTATCGACCGTGGCGGCCTCCATGCCGCTGTTGGGCTTGGTTTCCTCTCATCACACGTTCCGTTTAATAGCATTGACTCGGTATCTCTGTCGCTCGACATTAAATCTTGTCGCTTGTCTAATGATGGGCTTGGTAATTCTGTCATATTAGGGCTTCCCGAAGATGATAACCGAGGTGGCGCGGCAGCACCAACAGGTTCTAAAAATGAGACTAGTGGCTCTTTATCTTTGCCCACGCACTGTATAATAGCAGAAGCATTCTCTCTCGATAAGGCGTCTCTTTCAGAGTCCAGTAACGATAAACTGTGGTCCGCTTGTGCATGCGCTACAAATGATTTTGCATAGCCAAAACTCAATTTACAAATAAAACACATTAGGATAGGTTTGACTGGTACGCTAACAGGACACTCAGTTGGAGGAGATGGCGGTCTAGGAGCGTCCTTTCCTCCGCGAAAACTAAATACTCGGTAACTGTGCATAACAGGCGCGTCGGGTCTCGCTCGCGCTCGTTCTGCTGCCAGTCTTCCATACAACGCTCCATACAACGAAGGGTTTCTTGACACGTAGAACGCGCTCGCTATCTGTGGGAAATCGAGCTGTCTTTCCACTACGTTGTTGTCGCGACTATCTACGATACACCCAGGTTCTATTTTTGGTAGATCGGGTATGCTCGTTTCTCCTTCTGATAATTCAGGGTCCTCGATGATATAGGCAGATCCATCAGGGTTGTAGACGATTTTGCCGTCAAATCTTTCGACGTCGGAGGAGAGCGGCGGAGAGTCTCTGTGCGAGGTAAGGTCGACGGCATCTGGCGCGGCGGGAGGTGAGGTCGGCGCGGGTGCAGAAGAGGGCGCTGGGGTTGGCGCCGCGGGAGCCGCGGGCGCGTTGCGCGGTTCTTCCTCTGGGCTCATGTCGCCGTCGTCGTCGTCAGGCTCGAGCGCAGCTGAACTCTGCGGATCGTCGCGCTTGCGGCGCCGCTTGCGCTCCGGGGGCGGGCCGCTAGCGGGGCCGCCGGGCTGCAGCGGCGTGGGCATGGCGCCGGGCGTCAAAGGCCGGCATCACATGCTCTCCTGCAACAAAAACATCAAGATTTATCCATCGATTAAGGTGAAAGAGCATTTTACATCAACTCACGTAGAAGTCTTAGAATAGTATTTAGTGATCAATTAGATTTATGGCCTAATATCTGTATGATATCAATCTACTTATAAACTGTAAACTATCCGTAATCAATCACCTACTTCTCACGGACCAGTTTCACATAACCGAAGGTGACTATTGAATACATTTGTGTCGAGCGCGCAGCCGGAAGTGGGTAGGGTCATCGTTGTGTCACTATGTTGTTTTCCAAAGACAGATCCCGAGTGGGTGGCCTATTTAAATTAGGCAAATACTACAATAATTCTCCTGGATCGGTCGTGTTCGGAATATGATTCAATATTTGTCAGTGAAGCCGGCAAAGGTGGACAATAAAGTACTCTGTCTACAAAATGTTTAAACTTATTAATATCGTCTTTCCGATAAAAGATAAGCCATACATTCCCATAGGTATCACCAATACCTACCTATATTAAATTAAAATACATACTTAGTAATCGTTATCTAACTGACATTTGCGCAAACAACCACGATCAATTTATCCGAATGACAGCTTGTCAACGTTGTCAATGCTGACACTATTACAATTAAACAACCAACAAAGTTAGGTCTCGACAATTTTAAAATGTTTTATGATAAAGTAAAGTCTCATAGTAAAATGGCCCTTAAATCCATTGATATAAGACTTGATTACATCCATACCTTACGAAATTTAAAATAAGAAGGCAATCTAGAATAAAAATTCGTTAAAATCGAGATTAAGCCGTCATCTCCGTTATCTAACGTTATCAAAGATACTTGTCCTACAAATACCTAACGAGGACTGAAATAATATATTTACTTAGTTGACAGTTGAGATAATCAATGAAAATGTCACATGACACACAAATAAAGAATAAATTATTAGTATTATGCAGGTAGTAGGTAGATCTTACAAACGACGAAATTAATAGAAAAGATTCTTCAGTTGTTTAAAATAGAGACATCTAGTGAACAATTGTGTAATACTTAACCAAATGCAATTCTGATAAGAACGAAGCCATTTCTAAATTTGTCGTAAAATCTAATTTTATGAAAAACTAGTCTTACAAACTATGGATAGGCTGGACAAGGAACTCGTTTTCCTCATTTTGTCCACAACGGTACTAATAAAATGACCAATAAATAATTAGAACTGATACAAATTCGAATTAATGAAACTGACTAAATTTTAATTTCGCAATACTAATCAAGTACTGACTAATGAATGATTAAGCCAGGATGTGATAACGTAGCCATTACCGCAAATACCCGAATCCTTACACCGGATGAGTTTACTGATAATACTTATTAGTATTTAAATTATAACGAATTACATCATTAATTGTGCAAGTACAGGCTTCGAAATTATTATTGTAAGTTGTAACTGTTTGTGAAGGTAGCAAATACTTTTTATCAATGAATCTTGTAAGATTACTACCAGTGTATGGGAATTTCCAGTGTCTTATAAGAATTTTATTGTAACTGATACTACTTAGAACATTGTAGATTCTTACCAAACTAAAAGTATATGAAAATAATCTGAAGAAGTTATGATTGGGAAAGTTTTTAACGTTAGAAAAACTGTAGTGCTAGAAATATGTTCTGGAGCAACCTGGTAATTTATAGTTTCTAAAGCAAATCTTAGACACGATGAAATTTTGAATAATTTCGAAGAGAAACGATATGGTGCTTAAAGGCTAGATAAAGTAATTAACAATTTTATTAGGAACTAATATTTGTCATCAGTATGATTAATAGTTTTCATAGTAATTTCTTTCGATTGATAATTTGCATGGATCATTATCGGACACAAGTTCAAATTAGTCTGATTGGAAAATTTGATCCATTTTTTCTAGTTTAAGATAGTCAAATAGTATAAAACTATTGTTATTTATAAATTAACTGATATCACCAACCCAGCTGGTTAACCAATTACGAAAACTTCTTAGATAAACAGGAAGGTCTTCGAAAAAATACCAAATGTTGTGTAAGAATTAAATATTACAAGCGATATTAAAATTCGAACAAAATTCCATGTCAATACCAGCAAAGTTTTATTAGCAAGACCTTGGTTTTCCTATAGATTGTAATGTGAACCACGCCTTACCATTTGTTTGCATTACAACGCTCGAGTGTGGCTCTTCAAATCGTCATTCGATAATTGATATCAAACGGGACTTTATAATGCAAATATTTGAGGAGACCACGCATTTTGTATGAATGAGTTTCCTTATTTCTTTTTTTATGATTATACTTTATACTTGATATAAATAACCTTTCCGTTTGTATGTTGCAAGCGTGATTTTTAAAATATTCTTGAGTTTATAGTAGCTTGAAATCTTAAGAACAGTAGTCATTAAGATCCTATTAAATACGATCACACATAATTGATTGTTAAGCAGCTCAACAGCATTTTCAGATCAACCTGAATCTTCTAAACTGTGACCTCTAACCAGCTTGCCAAGTGTAGGAACAAAACCTCTTTACATAAGAGTGTCTTCCGAGAGGAGGAGGAGGCTCAGTATTTCGTACATCTCCATAAGTTGGCCAGTACTGCCTACAAGTATGACTTCTAAATGGAATTTTATCATAAAGTTAAAGTCAATTAATTATTTATTTAATTTCATGTAGTTACTACATAATTTGCAACAATATTTATTGCACAAACAAGATATTTATTTCTTTTTGTAAGCATACTTTCTAATTGGCGCTCGTTCTAAAGTTAATTTCTTATTGACAATTTACTTATTCATATTTTTATGACTTGAAATGTGATTGAAGTTTTTGCTCATATTACAAGTATTAGGAAATATCTTCAATGACTGGAAACCCGCAAGATAAATATTTTAATTATGATTACGTATGATTTATGTACAAGTCTCATATTTAATCAGGTTTATTATTCGTTAAGTGGTTTGACTATATTTTTATAAATTATTAGAAGGATTCGGATGAAGAAAAAATGTTTGAGAAATTAGTTTTTTAAACAAATTTTCGCCTTAGTATTAATTAGAATTATAAATTAGTGTTTGTAGAGTAATTGAGAAGGCTTCTCAAAGTCAATATCAAATATCATTTATAGTTAAGGCAGCTCTAAATGAAAACTAAGGGTGAGTGAAAGCGCCTTCTGATCCCCCACTTGTTGCTCACTGCTAAAGTGAACTGAACTTACAACGAAATTCTTATAAGACACGTTTCTTACCCTCAGTATAATCAAACTGGATTCTCATAAATGCTGCTTAGAAATGCATCACTTGCAATTATACGAAACTATCATGTGACATAGGTAAAAAATACTAATTACACATAATAATTATGATGCTAGTTCTCAGCAATAGCAATTTGTAGATCATTTCGCAGTGCTAATGTGTATGGAAATTATGCAAAGAGCTGGTAATTAGAGTCGAGGTGAATGGTCCATAATGCTATAATTTGCTTCTATCTTTATTTTTACATACACACGGACGGAATGAACGCTTTCAGTGCTAAACAAATAATGTCGCATTTTATTGGAAAACACACTTGGAATGTTAACATGGTGTTTAGCTGGATAATGCCGCATAATACGCGCGAAACTATCATTAAAATGTATAGAAACGCTAAATCAAAAGGCTCATGTGTCAAATGTGTCTATAATTTGTATTTTGCGACTGTGGAGTGGCACTTGGCGAAGTAAATGTTTAATGTGGGCACACGTGCGCAGATTCCCATCGTTACAATCAGTGGTGTTGTCAATTTCCACCGATACCCCGATGCTTGCAGCAGAACTAATTTCCGATAAACACGCACACTAACCTACTACGTAGCTACGTTCGAGTGCAAATTACACGTACACATGAGTGTGTGAGCGTGAGAAAAGTACGGCGGATACAATAGCGTGTGTGTGCGTGGATACTGACGCAATTTGCTCGTACGTATTTGCCATACAGTCGCACGGCGGACGCTGCGCACGCGCACCGCTACACCGCGCGCATCTGACTCTCCTACAATAGTTATCGAGCCCGTCATAATGAAGATGCGCGCTTTTCAAAGCATTAATGAGGCTCCCACAATGTAATTGATACCAACAGTACAGTACCCACCATTCAATAACGTTTTTGTCAATGTCCAATTTACGAACATAGTATCGTGCATGATCACTGGCTAATCTCACTTGTTTATCTAAAGAGAAAGTCAATCGAAAAGAAATTTAACGAGGTAAACTCAATGGAAGTGAAATTAACAATGATATAATACTCGGATACCATTAAATCCTATAATTAGCAGAGGCAATGGCATGAAAAGTCAATCAACATACTCATTACCGTATCCGCGGAATGGGAGTTCGTGAGCCATGTATCACTTTCGAACTACAATTTACTAGTTGGAAACTGTGACATTTGCGGTTCGTAGCATTACGTTGCTTGAGCACCATAACGAATGTAAACTGATCACATTTAATTATAAGCTTAGATTGAAGTACACTAGACAAAGACTATTATGGAATTTAGATATATCGTGTAAGGCAATAATGGGTCGAAATACTCGTGAGTGTGGATGGAAGAGCAAATAGCGTGGCATGAGGGATGTGTCGGTAACGAGAGACGCGGTAAACTACGTCCATATTAATAATCGTGGGTTATTACGAAGCCCCTCATTAACTCGGCGGCCGCTCGCCAACGAAACCGCAGAACACTGCTAAATAATTACCCCCACACTGCTTTCTTCACGAAAACACGGTAAAAGCACATTAAACAACATCTACTAAGTCGGCGCGAGGAATTACAATAAATAAGGTATTAAGTCGACGCTGTCAGGCACCGAAATATAAGTAGCTATTATATGCGGGTGAGGCTCAATGTACCCGGTACCTTGGACCTGTTGTAATTTTGCATATATTCAGAGTAATAACTCATTGATAGTGAAGCCTTGAATA